AAAAAAAAAAAAAAAACTTTTGAGAAGAAGTGCGAATGTGGTATGCGAGCAATATGCGGAAATTCGCATACCCCATCGCATAACTGAAATAACTAAAAGATGAAAGAAATAAAAATTAAACTTTAGAATAGAAGTGCGAAGGTGGTGAATATGCGGAAATTCACATAAACCATCGCATAACTGAAATAACTGACCAAAAAAAATTATTATGCACCAACTCTGCGAATAATATGCGACGTTGGTATGTCGCAGTTGTGTCGCGAATAATTTTTTCGACTAATAGTCGCAGATTTATTCGCCTAACAAGAATAATTATTTAATGGGCGACGGACCGCGATTGACCGAATCGTACATCGAATCTCCGCATATTCATCGTAGAACAGTCGCATACTTTAACTCATAATTTTCTCGCTCATGCTCATACATGTCGCCTATTTATCGCATAGTTAATCGCATATGTCTTCGTACTTTTTGGGGTGAAAAACTTAGTTTTTTATTGGGTGGTGTGAAAAACTTAGTATGACTTTAGAACGGGGTGAAAATAACTATTTTCACTTATTATATATATGTTTTATACATATTTATAATAAATTATATACATATTTTTTAATTTATTACATATATGTTTTTAAATACTAATATATTAATTTTATAACCTACCAGTTTATTTTATATTTATTTTTCTTTTATATTATAATTATTATTATTTAAATGCTAATATTTTAATTTTATAATATTCAAATAAATTTATTATAATATTTTTTACTTTATTAATGTCATATTGTTTTCTTTTATATTATAATTCTTATTATATTTATTATTATGCTAATATTTTTAGTTTTTAATATTCAAATAAATATATTATAATATTTTTTTCTTTATTAATGTAATATTTTTTTCTTTTATTTCATAAATATTATTATTATAATTTTTTTAAGTTATTTTTATTATTTTTATATTATAATCTTTATTAATATTTATTAGTATAATTATTTTTATTATTTAATTATAATATAATTATAATTTAAAATTAAAAAAATCGTGACCGGCCGGAGGGGCCGGTTCAGTCACCGTACGTCCGGCCCCCGAAGATGGCGGCTCAGCCGATTGTGCGGCCCGGTCCGGCCGCACGGTTTACTTGCGACCGGTAAAGCAGACCGGTCGCCCCACGGGCCGTACGGGAATCACTGCCGCACGGCCCGTCCCGCGTCCGGTCCGACCGGACGGACGCGGGTCCAGAATTTTTAAAAATAATTTTAAGAATAATTTAAATTGTAAAAAACAAAAAAAAAAAAAAATACCTTCTTAGAAAAGAACGCTTTGCTGAGACCGTAGGATTTTTTCGACATTTTTTCGGAATTTTTTGACGCTCGTATGGCTCGTTGAAGATTCGATTTTAGAGAGATAGATAGATTAGAGAGAGAGTAGAAAGAAAAGGAGTAAAGGGTATTTTCGTAATTGGGGGCGGTGATTAGTAATAAGGGGACGGTAAATAACGAGTATGAGAGGAAATAAAGTAAATGGGATGACCTAGTAAAATATTGTATTTGTAATTTCTCGAGGTATACAATGTCACACTCAAAGCCCCAACCTGGGTTAAGCTTTTGGGTGTTGTTTTGTAAGCCATTACATGAAATTCAAGAGTTAATCTGAAGTGCAATGGCAGCAAGTCCCCCATTATCAAGATGAAAACAAAAGTGAAACAAAAATGTGCCTGGCAAAATTCTGACATAAATTTAAGAATGTCTTGAAACAACACATTTCAACAATATGCAGAATCTCGAGCTGTTTGGTATTTAGCTCAGTGCCATTATACTGAGGGCCGATAAGCGGCCTTCACTAAGATAGATCTCGATTATAATTATCCTTGTTTTAGCAACTGCAGCAATTTGAGTATCCTTGCCACCAACAGTTTTTCATCCACAACTAATCTCATAAATACATCCTTCAAGGTTTCTAACAGTAGCTCGAGTTCCAACAACTTCACTTACCCGCAATCCAAGCCGAGTAGCTTCATTTAAGACCATATTATCCATTCTGCAAATATGTAAGCAAATTACATGAAAGCAAATATCGGAAAAACAAAACATGTTGAGATTCATGTAATGAAAATAATTACATTTTCGCCCTGGAAACATAAGCCAATATGAAGCGACAACTTCTACCACGGCTGAACTGGATGAGCTTCTTCACAGAGTCAAAGAGCCAAGGAATACTCGACTGTTGAAAGCTTGAAAAACGGTTAAGGTATATATCTCTCTACTTTCTTTGTCTATGTATTCACACGATGCATTAACATCAACTATAAAAACAACACGATAAACAAACAAAGATGGCATCTTTGACATATTAAAAGAAATGTCAATATAATAAAATAGACATTTAAAAAGAACAATTGCTAAAGATAAGAATAATCACTTTCAATATCAAATTGAATACAAATTTGTCATCTACTTGGCCGACAGATTTCTTTATGAGATGTATTGGTTTCATATAACAATTATCAGGTAATTATAACAATATTAAGTAGAACAAATTCTAAACACGAGTAGGCCGCATGTAAGACATATTACATAAACTGTAAAATTAGGATATAGATATCAGCTCCAAGAACAAGATCAAATCCTTGTGGATGACTTTGCAAGATGTAGTCAAGTTGCTCCGAGTTTCCCCATTCTAGCTTCTCAGCTTTCAATTCTGTAGTAATCAATAGAGGAAATAAAACACAGACTTTCTAGCTTTTCGAATTAAACCTTAGATTCTTCACTTACCAGCAGAACAAACAAGATTTTGCGAAGTATCGTGCAGTTCTATATTCCTCTTTAAGATCTGAGTATGAGCACGAAAATAAGCATGTTAACAAATATTATATATTAACTCAAGTCTCAAGATATACAAGCAATAAGTGAAATCCTCATAACCTTGCCTTAAGAACCTCATCATTATGGTCTGTCATTACTACTTTCTCACAAAATCTGCTACACAGTATCCCGGTTATGCCTGCATGGTGATTTTAGCAATCATAAATTATCCAATGGGATGCTAGTAGCACTTTTTAGTTTTTATGCTATATTTTTGCAGACTTAAAGTGTGTTTGCAAATCGCTGAAAAATTAAAAAAAAAAAATAATAATAAAATAAAATGAAATGATAATTATAATAATAACGAAATACTAAAATCAAAAGATAGGGCTATCTTTGAAAATTAGAAAAGGCAGGCTTGAATCATGATATGTCAACAATTTTTGCTAGTTCCATTAATGGATGAAAAACAATGTAAGACAGATGCAACTTCCGAAATAGGTGGGTTTTAAAGCAAATTTCCGAAATTTGATCATTTTTATCATAATCCCGTGAAAATAAATTACAATGGGAGGACAAGACTAACACAGTAACAGACACTAACCGACACCGGAGCCAAGCTCGATAACAGAACAGCCATGAAGCATATCGGCATTTTTAGAGAGAAAATCATTCAAAAGCTCCGCTCCAGGCCATACCAACTGCCCCGTCAAATCAAAATCAGCTGCCACACAGATAGTCAGTAACCTCATTGCAATATAACTCACACAGTTGTAAAATCACAAGTAAAAGAAGTCTCCAAACCGTAAACCAATCTTGTTTTACATGATCCTCTCTAGTAAATCACGATAAACTGAAGTTAAATTTCAAATCAACCATACAAGTCAAAGTTGCAACAACTACACAGGAATCAGGAGACTACAAAAATGACACTAACGGGTTCTTTGAACAAATAACTACTTTACCATTGGAATTAAGATTGCCCTTGCAATTCAAACACTTTGAGCTTTTTAACCACTTTTTAACTAAGATTGTCCTTACAATTCAAACACTTTGCAAAACTCTCTACATTCCGAAGAAGTGATTTACTGCAGCGAAGGCAATAACAGTCAAGAAGCAGAAGTTGTTCGCCTTCGAAAACACAAGCAGAAAGTTGAAAGGGAAGCCCTTTTGTGAACAAAGGGCTTCAGTAGAACCACGATCTGAACTTGAAGCAATATCAAATTATGCATCAACAAAAGCATAAGCCCTCATCAGCAAACACTATAAACACTTTATTCTTTGACCTAAAAGCTCAAACAACCTTTTTTTAGTAATTGCGTGGACTCCTAAATCTTGCACCACTCTACAGCCTCCACACATCTATTATCATCCAACAGCATACCATTGGCATAAGTTTCAAGAAATGTAGGTGCGAAAAATTGCACTGAACATAAATCAAACAGTTAAAGATCGTAATAAACATTCAGAAGCGAGAAAATGGGGTGTCTCACTTGAAGCAGACTGGAGACAATAGAGTTCAAGAACGTGCGAACCAAATGTAAACCTCGTCAATTGGTAGCTGGAGATGAAGGGGGGAATAAAAAACAAATCAAACACAGTCACAAGAACACGAAAGTTTGTACGTTTAAGAATGAGAAAGGCAGAATACTTGTCGCTGATGAAGAAAGATTCATCCAGGCAAACAATTTCTTCATCTTCTCCCTGGCTTTCCATTTGCTAGTCTTGAATAATTCTGAAGTTCTTTTCAAGGATTGAAAATGAGTTCAAATGACCTTCCCCAAACCAACCAAAAATTGTAAGTAAGCTTTGACCAAAACATCTCTTTAAAACATCATTCAAAAACTCATAAAAATAGGAAAAAAAGATATTTATACCCTTAAAGCCTATTTTTAAAGAAAAACTCTAAAAAATAATCAAAAAAAATAAACTAAAAATGCTTAAATTCTAAATATTTGGAAAATGAGTAGAATGAATAATACTCCTCTTTGAGAAAATATTGAAAAAATCTGAAACAATCAAGAATTAATTCTTAAAAGACTTGAAAAAACAAGTAGAAATATCGAATTTCTTGATACTTTACTATCAGAAATTCTTGATATTGCAGCAAAAGCCGACAAAATTATTGAAAATATTAACAAAATAAACGTAAATAGGTTATAAGAAACCTTGATAAAATTAGATGAGAAAACTCCACAAATTGAACCATGAATGGAAAATTTAAACAAAGCAATTTTATTTGTAAATCAAATTGGAAAAGAATTAGGATTAAATGGCTAAAAATCTTGAAGTAGGAAATGTACAACAAATACTAACCATAGTTAGTGAAATAAAAGAAGCAATTCTAAGGATAGAGCAAAATATACAATAGACTAGTTCTAGTAACCAAGACACTAAATTATTAGAAATAGAAAGAGTTTTACGAAATATTAAAGAAAAGAAGTCTATACCAACATATAGACCACCGAATGAATGGGATCTTAGTAATATGTTTAAAAATGGAAGAAAAAGATTACCAGGAGAAAATAAATAGTGACACTGATTCTATTCAAAGTGAAACTGATATTCAGTCTTTATTAGACAAATATCAGAATATATTATCCTTAAAAGAATTCGTTGGAAATTACAGCGACTCTAGTTCAGAAAGTGAAAATCTAGAACCAAAAGATCGTATAAATGTTAAAATTGAAGAAGATCTTAAGGATATTTCTCCAGGACCAAGAAATTATCAAGACACTCATGAGTTTATGACTCCTGAAGAATACATAAACAATGAGTTCTATAATCCAAATGCAGATAGGTACGTCGAAGTATCTGATGAAGAAAAAACATTCTCAGAAATAAATATTCCAGGAATGATGAATAGGAATCGAAGTAAGGCAAAACCTTATAAGAAAAATAAAACAAAGAATTATATTCCAAAGCATTTGCAACAATAAAAGGTTGGTATAATTATATGTTAGTAGTAATACAAACTAATAGAGAAGCATTTGAAGATCTAAGAACATTAAAAACATATTTAGAACTTCATATGAATAGAAATGTTAGAAACTGGTGGGATTCAAACCCATATGTTCCAAGCCTTGATGCTCTTTGGAATAAACCAGAAAATAACATAGAGTATCTAAATGCCTTGGCTAAACTAGTAGTTAATGAGTTTGTAGGAATCAGAGAGTTAAATAACACAAATGCAGTGTTGGAAGAAAGACAGAAAAAAGCAAAGTTCATACTTGACAATATTCAAATATGTGATTTGATATTGGAAAAATTTTACATGTGAATATGAAAAATGGTATTACTTGTTAAAACAAGAAGATAGACCAGCATATGCTGAAAAATACTTCAATAAGCTGCCACCATTGTGGGCTTTTGAAATGAACAAAAAATGGTCTAATAAACCTGATCATATTACAAAAGGTTTTGCAGGAAGAGTAAATCTTCTTAAAGAAACCATAGAAGATAGATGTAAAGATACTCAATTAAGAGGGACTCTTGTATACTATCAAAACAAACCATGTTGTGATCCTCAATTATTAGAAATACCTAATAAATGGGGATGTAGAACTAAAAAAGAGAGGCATTCTAGAAAACTAAAATACCAGAAGTTTAAAAAGTATAAAAGGTATATTCCTAAATATAGGAAATACAAAAAAGAGAATCATAAAATGAACAAACCCAGATATAGAAGAAGAATTGAAAGAAAAGAAAAATATTGCCCAAAGGGGAAAACTAACTGTAAATGTTGGTTATGTCAAGAAGAAGGTCATTACGCAAATGAATGTCCTAAAAGAAAAGAAGGTAAAGATAAAGTTAAAATGTTTTATGCAATGCAAAAATTCAAGTTTGAACCAATTGAATCTGAAAATGAGTCTAATGATTCAGATTATGAATTAAAGTTTGAAATAGAATATAAACAATTCTATTCCAAACCAAACTCTGAATGAGAAAGTTGCACTGATGATAGTTCTGAAGAATGGAACAATTGTTAAATATAACTAACCCTAATAGTACCTATATCAAGGTGGGTTTTAAATTCACTGGGTATAAACTATATCATCTTCATGGATATATAGATACAGGTGCAAGCATTTGTGTTGCACATCCTTTTGTATTACCCATTGAAAAATGGGAAAATGCTAAACAAAAAATAACTGCACGAGTTGCAAATAAACAAGTAATGACTTTAGAAAAAGTGGCTTATAATGTCACATTTTTAATAGCAGGAGAAAAATTTTTAGTTCCTACTATATACCAGCAATATACGGGAGTAGACCTTTTAATAGGTAATAACTTCTTAACATTATAAAGACCATTTGTCCAGGAATTAAATTATATACTGTTACATTTAAATGAAGTACCAGTTTATATAACAATAGTGTATAAAGCTTATAGCCTTGCATCTAAAGAATTTATGAAAAATAACTCCAAACTATGAAAACGTGGTGAGGTTACTAAAATAAAAAAGAAAAACATTGCAATAACAAATGAAACTAAAAATCCAGAAAGAGTTTTTATTCGAACCATGCAATGTAAAAGAATAATGGATACCTTAATATTTAAACATCAAATGCTTTATATGTTGTCTTTAGAAGACTGTCAAAAAGCATTAAATAAAATAACGAGTGAAAATCCGTTAGATAAAATGCTTAATAAAAGCATAAAAAACCCAGCTTTACATGCTGAAATAAAATTAATTAACCCTTTAAAGGTTATAAGAGTTAAACCAATGTGCTATACTCCTCGAGATAGAGAAGAGTTTAACATACAGATTGAAGAATTAATAAAAATAAATTTAATTCGGCCTAGTAAATCTCCACATAGTCCAACTTTTCTAGTAGAAAATGAAGCTGAAAAATGAAGACAAAAAAGACGTTTGGTTATTAACTATAAAAAATTAAATGATAATACAAAAATGGATGGGTATTTTTTACCTACAGCGCGGCCACGGCCGGCCCTTGCCGGCCGTCCGGCGACAACTCCCGCACAATCTGACTTTAAATAACATAACCTGATATGTCATGAACATGATCACTGAAATAACTTGAAAATATAAATCTTGCACGATAACCTGAATAGGCCGTGGCGAGCGCACCGTGCGCCGCCGACGGCGTTAGGCCGTCTCCCGACTGACTCGACGTTTCCCTCGGCAACTCAAGATCAACTAAACATGAAACATCATTTTAAAACTATTAAGACATAAACTGCATGGACAAACTTGACTATAACAAGAGATAACTTAACATGACTTGGGAGTGCCCGCGGCCATGCGCGACGTGCGCTGGCGACGGCTTTGAGTCAATTCAAGGATAAAACAATATCTTGCTCCCACCAACATGACATAACTGAGTGTAAAATGATTTAAACTGATCAAATAAACGTGAATCGTTCGTGAGTTGCCGAATGGAATTGAACTTTACTCGATCATGACTAATAATGGCCTAAACTGAGTCTAACATGACATAACTACGAACTCTTGAAACATGAACTGAACAATTCAACCTTATATTTCGTATTATACAAGTTCAGCAAATAGTTAGACCAGCAAATTGCCTTAGTTCTTCCCTACCCCACGCACGGCAAGTAGAAGTAGACGTACGGCGAAGCATCGCACGGCAAGAGGTAGTTGGTATCGCACACGGACACGCGCACGCGAGGTCACGATCGGTTTGCGAATTCCGACGAGCACTTATTTTATTTAATTAAAAATATGAAATGGTTTAGTACGTTCGACTGTAAGAGTGGATTCTGGCAAGTCCCTCTGAAAGAAGAAAGCAGGAAGTTAACAGCATTCAGTTACCCAAATGGACAGTTTGAATGGAATGTTGTTCCTTTCGGGTTAAAACAAGCTCCTGGATTATTCCAAAGGAGAATTGACAATGCTCTATGTTTAAAAGACCCGAGCAAAGAATTTAGTAAAATTTGCACGGTATATGTTGATGATATAATTGTCTTCATAAAAACCGAACAAGAACATTATAAGCATGTTATACAAGTACTACAACAATGTCTTAAAGAGGGAATAATTCTCTCTGAGAAAAAGGCGAAAATTGCTCAAACTAAGATTAATTTCTTAGGACTTGAAATTGAAAATGGAAGTCTAACTATGCAACCGCATATCATGACAAAAATTTCTGAATTTTCTTCAGAAATAGGAAATAAAAAGCAAGGACACAGATTTCTTGGAATCTTAAATTATGTAGAAGGCTACATAGCCAATTTGGCAGCAATACGTAAGCCATTACAAGAAAAATTGAAAAAGGATGTCATTTTTACTTGGTCACCAAGTGATACAACATACGTAGAAAAAATAAAGAAAAAACTTAAAATTCTACCCACGTTATATCATCCTCAAGAAAATGATAAAATGATTTTAGAAACAGATGCCTCCGACTCTTACTGGAGGGCAGTCTTAAAAGCAAAACCAGTAGACTCTACTGAAGAAAAATTGTGTAGATATACTTCAGGAACTTTTAAAGACGCTGAAAGAATTATCATAGTAATGAAAAAGAATGGCTAGCAGTCTTACGAGGCATTCAAAAATTTAAAATATATCTTATCTCTATTAAGTTTTTAGTAAGAACTGAAAAATAAAATTTCAGTTATTTTATTAGAAATGAATTTAAAGGAGATTATAAACAAGGTAGATTGATTAGGTGGCAATTACACCTAAAACAATATCAATTCGATGTTGAACACATAAAAGGTGATAAAAATTA